ATAGATAGATAGATAGATAGATAGATAGATAGATAGATAGATAGATAGATAGATAGATAGATAGATAGATAGATAGATAGATAGATAGATGGATGGATGGATGGATGGATGGATGGATGGATACAGTAAATATGCTCCTATTTATTACAAATCTAAATAATATAAAATATAAATAAAATATAAAATAAATGAATTCTTATGTTGTAAGACAACAAAATACAAAGATTGCCAAGAGGGATGTATACTTCTGCAATCCAAAGTATACAATAACTCTGAAAAGCTCCGTATTTTTTTTTTCTCTTCAGAAATGTGAATTTGTACATGTATTAGAAACCATTACACCAGCTCCAACATATTCATCAGTGTGAATATCTTGGCACAAACAGACTCAGAAAGGCTACAAAACTATCAGTGCAGAAAGACAAATAGGTTGAAATCATTTTTAAAAAATGTCTCACCATAGAAGTACTCAGAGTTCAGAGACTCAGGGGTCTTCAGAAATGAGTAGGTCAAGAAGGCCTTGTGGTAAACATTCATGTCCTGGCTGTTCTCGTCTACTTCAGGACAGTTTGAAAGGTAAGTCCCAAATGTGGCTAATGATATGAACTTCATCAGCTCCACGTTTGGGATGTAGCCAAAACTACAATCATACGAATATGTCCCACCAACCTGGAGAGACCAGAACAAAAAGCAGCTGCTGAATATCAAGATAACCGAAACCACAGAACCTTCGAGAATCAACAGGACTGTTGTTCTGTTGTCATTTGGAGGTAAGTTGGCTTGTATTGTGTCATATTTACCTGCACAAAGGAACATGCGATGGTTCCACTCCTGAGTTGATTCAGCAGGGTTTCACACACTGCCACATCAGGAACACTCATCACTCCATCTGTGATTATAATGATTCCTGAAAAACACAGGCTCTGTGAGGTGTAATATCCCACTGGCCAGTCCAACAGTGAGTGTGGGCGCTGGGCAGTCCAGTCTTGGGTGCAAGACCAGATGGGCATGAGTGGTTCCTGAGACATCAGTTTCAACCAGAACAAACCCATCTGGTTCTGTCTGATCGAATGACCTGGGTCATTTCAGGAATGGAAATAGTGTTTAATTTGTGTGTGTGCGTGCGTGCATGTGTGCGTATTTCAAAGGTTCACTTTAATAAGAGAAAAAAAAAATAACTCTGAAAATTTCAAACACTTTAAAACCAGTATCTCACTGAGTTGGGACTGTTGAAGACTACTACTACTTGCACTAAAGACACAAGATGGTGGCGCACAGACAAGCAGTGGATTCTCGAGCTTCCCAGGGAAAACCCAGGTTTTTTTCGCTCCAACAATGGATCCGAGCCCAACTTAGCTCGCCTGAAGCGGGTGAATTATAGCCAAACCAAAATTATTAGAATAAGAGAAGGTTTGGCTTCAAAAACAGCAGAGATGGATCACATTCTGAGAGCTACTCTCAGCAGACTGCGGCTACTACAGACATCAGCATCAGCATGGAGAGACCAGAGCACTAATGGAAAGAGGAAGTCCAGTCCCGCGGGGACAGAAAAGAGGTAAACAAGGAGGAGTATTAGTGAGACTGAAGGCTAATGCTAACAGACCGATTCCATCTCTGTCCCTGGCCAACGTCCGCTCATTTGAAAACAAGCTGGATCTTCTGCGACTAGAAGTGAGTGTTTTAGAGGAGATGAGGAACTTGCAATACTTTGTCTCACCAAAGCATGGCTTAATAACAACATGCCAGACTCAGCCTTCCAGCTGGACAACAGACTGCTTTCTGGGCGGACCGCAGCCAGCTGTCGGGGAAGGCACGTGCGTGTGTGTGTGTGTTTGGGGGGGGGGGGGGGGGGGGGCGCTATGCATCTATGTAAACAAAGATTGGTGTACAAACTGTGTTCTGATAAACAGTTCCTGCTCCAAGGTTTTAGAACTGACTGTGAAATGATGGCCTCATTATTTACCTCGTGAGATTATGGTGGAGTATATTATTGGTGTATATCAAGATTTTATCAGCATGTGACCATACCAACACAGGAACATAACACATTAGACCATGTTTATACCAACATATGAGACACATATAAAGCTGTATCATGCCCCCACCTTGGCCTCTCAGAACACATCTCCATCTTTCTGACCCCTATCTACTAACCCCTGCTGAGATCTTTCAGACCCACACAGAAGATCATCACCGTGTGGCCCAGCAACAGCGACTCTGTACTGCAGGACTGCTTTGCATGCACAGACTGGTAGGTCTTCAGGGAGGCTGCTGTAAATGAGGGAGAACTGGACCTGGAGGAATACACATCTGTTGTCATCTGATACATCAACGAGTGTTGAAGATGTCACCACCGCCAGGACTATGATGTGCTATCCTAACCAGAAACCTTAGCTGAATGCATAGGTCCGTACCCTGCTGAAAGCCAGGGATGCTTTCTTCAGGTCTTGCAACTCATAGGAACTGGGGAGGGCAAGGAAAAAGCTGGCTGCTGGTATTAAGAGGACCAAAGTCACATATGCATAGAAGATCCAGGGGCATTTCTTCTCACAGTACCTAAAGAGCACATGGAAGGGCATTAAGTGCATCGCAGACTATAAAAGCAGAGACGTACAATGCCCTAGGGACCCATCACTGCCTGATGATCTTAAAATGTTCTAGGCCTGCTTTGAAGACCCAAAGAGACCACCCAGCACCAGACTTTCCTCACCATGTGACAAGAGGTTATTCGATGTGACCTCAGCAGAAGTAAGGAGGACCTTCAGGAGGATTAATCCTCACTAAGCCACTGGCCCAGACAACATCCCGGGGAGGGTTAGGAGAGACGATGCCGATCAGCTCTGCGAGGTACTGAATGATATCTTTAACTTCTCCCTCACCCTGGAAACTGTTCCCACCTACCTGAAGACAGCCTTTATCATCCCAGTTCCAAAGAGCTCTGCAGTGACTGAACTGAATGACTACCGGCCAGTAGCCCTCACCCCGATAGTCACTAAATGCTTTGAAAGACTGGTCATGGCCCACATCAAAGCCACCATTGACATCAGCGAAGACCCACACCAGTATGCATACTGCAAAAAACAGAGGACGCCATCTCCTATGGTCCGCACTGCTCTCTCTGGCCTAGAGCAGAAGGACTACTATGTCCATATGCTCTTTGTGGACTTCACATCTACTTTCAACACCCTGATTCCACAGACCTTGATGGATAAACTACTCACACTAGGACTAAGCCCCTCCTTATGCAACTGAGTCCTGGGTTTCTTAACCAACAGGCCGCAATCTGTGAAGATTCACAACTTCTCCTCTTCCATCATAACCCTCAACAGCACTGGCTCCCCCCAGGGCTGTGCGTTGAGTCCCTCCTGTTCACTATGCTCGCATATGGTAGGCTCACATGGGTATGTTCACATAGGTCCCTCTTGCAAATGAGTCCCTGTGGCTCAGTGAAGTTAGCCTGTATAAATAAAGGTTGAATATGAGTGTACTTCAATCGCCACCTTATCATGGTAGAGGAGTCTGTGTGCCTGAATGATCATAGGAGCTATGATGTGGGGGGCAATTATAATTGTCCTTGGTAGGGTCTCCCAAGGCAGATTGGTCCAAGGTGATAGGCCAGACAAAGAGCAATTCCAAAGATTTTTTATGGACATGATACAGCAAGGAACTCGGTGTCCCTTGCCCAGAAGTGGGTTACTGGGGCCCCACCCTGGAGCCAGGCCTGGGAGAGGGGATTGTCGGCGAGTGCCTGGTGACCAGGTCTCTACCCATGGGGAAGGAGCCTGAGCTTGTGTATCAGGTTGAGAGGTACTAAATAGATATAGTTGGGCTCAATACACAGTATGGGCTCTGGAACCGATCTCCTTAAGAAAGGCTGGACCTTATTCCACTCTGGAGTTGCCCATGGTGAGAGGCATTGAGCTGGTGTGGGTCTACTTTTAACCCCCCGACTTAGTGCCTGTGTGTTGGAGTTTTCCCGGGTAGATGAGAGGGTGGCTTCCCTTTGCCTTCGGGTGGGGGGACGGGCTCTGACTGTTGTCTGTGCCTATGCACCGAATGGCAGTTCAGGATATCCGGCCTTCTTGGAGTCCTTGGCAGGGGTGCTGGAAGGTGCGCCAACTGGGGACTCCTTTATTCTGCTGGGGGGACTTCAATGCCCACATGGGTAATGACAGTGTGACCTGGAGATTAGGAGGAACAACCTCTCTAATCTGAACCCAAGCAGTGTTCTGTTGATGGACTTCTGTGCTAGTCATGGTTTGTCTATCACAAACACCATGTTCAAACATAAGGGTGTCCATAAGTGCACTTGGCACCAGGACGCCCTAGGTCATAGATCGATGATAGACTTCATAGTCATGTCAGCTGATTTGCGGCCATTTGTTTTGGACACTCGGGTGAAGAGAGGAGCTGAGCAGTCAACTGATCACCACCTGGTACTGAGTTGGATCAGATGGCGAGGGAAGATGCTGTACAGACCCGGAAGACCCAAATGTGTAGTGTGGGTTTGCTGGGAACACCTAGCAGAAGAACCCTTCAGAAAGATCTTCAACTCAAACCTCTGGGAGAGCTTTAACCACATCCCAGCTAAGGTGGGGGACATTGAGTCTGAGTGGGCCATGTTCCGCACCTCGCTTATTGAGGTGGCTGCCTTGAGCTATGGCTGCAAGGTTGTCGGTGCTTCTCGTGGTGGCCATTCACAAACTCGGTGGTGGACATCCCAGGTTAGGGAGGCTGTCAAGCTGAAGAAGGAGTTCTATCTGGCCTTGTTAGCCAATGGGACTCCGGAGGCAGCTGAGGAGTACCAGAGGGCAAAGCGGTCCTCAGCCTTGGCCGTTTATGAGGCAAAAGCTTGGATGTGGGAGGAGTTCGGTGAGACCTTGGATAACGACTCTCAGTCGGCTCCGAGGAGATTCTGGCAAATCATCAGACGGCTGAGGAGGAGAGAGCAGCACTTTACTAAAACTTTATTCAGTGAAGGTGGGGTGCTGTTGACCTCAACCAGTGATGTCGTCGGGTGGTGGAAGGAATACTTCTCGGACCTTCTCAATCCCACCAGCACATATTCCATGGAGGAAGCTGAGTCGGGGGACTCTAGGGTTGATCCATCCATAACTGTGGCTGAAGTCGCCGAGGTAGTTAAAAAGCTCCGAAGCAGCAGGGCTCTGGGAGTAGATGAGATTCACCTTGATTTCCTTAAGGCTCTGGATGATGTGGAGCTGTTTTGGTTGACACGCCTTTGCAACGTCACGTGGACAACAGGCCAGGGCCACTGGATTGGCATACTGGGGTGGTGGTTCCCCTCTTCAAAAGGGGGGACCGGAGGGTGTGCTCCAATTTTAGGGGCATCACTCTCCTCAGCCTCCCTGGTAAGGTCTATTCAGGGTACTGGAGAAGTGAGTCTGATTGTTGGTCAAACCTCAGATCCAGGAGGAACAATGTGGGTTACGTCCTGGCCATGGAACACTGGATCAGCTCTTTACCCTCACTAGGGTCCTCGAGGGTTCATGGGAGTTTGCCCATCTTGTCTACATGTGTTTTGTGGATTTGGAGAAGGCATTTGACTGTGTTCCTCGGGGTACACTGTGGGGGGTGCTCTGTGAGTATGGGATTGAGGGCCCATTGCAACAGGCTGTTCAGTCTCTATACAAGCGGTGCGAGAGCTTGGTTCGCATTGCCGGCAGCAAGTAGGACTCCTTCAGGGTGGAAGTTGGACTCCGCCAGAGCTGCCCGATGTCACAGATTCTGTTCATAACTTTTATGGACAGAATTTCTCAGTGCAGCCAGTGGGCGGAGAGTTTTTGGTTTGGTGGCCTCAGGATTCCATCTCTGCTCTTTGCAGATGATGTGGTCCTGTTGGCGTCATCGTGCCATGACCTTCAGCTCTCACTGGAGTGGTTCACAGCCGAGTGTGAAGTAGGAATGTGCGATATGGCATAAAATTCATATCACGATATGTATTGTGAAGGGTGGCGATAACGATATATATATTGCGATATGTTTTGGATATAAAACTTGCTAAAAAAAAAAGTATAGGGTGTCCTTTTGCCATCATATATTTTGAATTAAGAAAATTCCACTACTAGGTCCAAAGAGTTTTTAAATAATAAACAAATCAAGTATTAGGCTTCTTTCTTGTTGTGCAAAGCAGTGCAAAAGATATCAAATGTAGTTTTAGCCTTTTTTTTTTTTAAACAAAAAATATGTTGTTAACTCTAAACAGTTTCCAGTCTTACTTAAGAAATGAACAGCAACAGAGCAGCATTTTACACTGAAACACTTCACCCTCCAAACCACTAGTGGACGACTCTTTCTGCTTTAATTGAGAGCTGACACAAAATGACTGTGGCTTTGACCAGAGGGTCTCGCAGTAAAATCACACAACATAGTGTTCTTTTCACAGATCAAACAGCAGGTTTCTCTAAAGCTGACCAATGCTTACTTTAACTTTTGACGGGAAAAAAAAACTTTCGACGGAACACAGCGTTTTGCGCATGCGTCAGAATACGGCAACACTACAGCAAGCCGGGCGTAGTTAGCATTTACCTTCGCTACTTAGCCCTAGAAGAAAAGACTTTAACGCCACTTGCGCACAGTTTTCAACTAAAAAAAAAAGTAACAATTAAATCTGACAGCTCTGATTTTACACTTGAACACCACTTACACATGGTTTTCAACAAAAAAAGTAACGATTAAATTGACAACTCTGATTTTACTTGAGACAGCATTACTGCGGTTAGCCGGTAGAAGACAGATCTCTATCGTAGATTAAATTTCTATTGTTTCTACCGTGTACCGTATATATTGCGCATTCCTAGTGTGAAGCAGCTGGGATGCGCATCAGCACCTCCAAATCTGAGGCCATGGTCCTCAACCGGAAAAGGGTGGATTGCTCTCTCCAGATCAAGGGCGAGGTTCTGCCTCAAATGGAGGAGTTCAAGTATCTCTGGGTTTTGTTCACAAGTGAGGGAAGAATGGAGCGTGAGATTGACAGACGATTGGTGCAGCATCTGCAGTATTGCGGACTCTGTATGGGTCTGTTGTGGTGAAGAGAGAGCTGAGTTGTAAGGCAAAACTCTCTGTTTAGCGGTCGGTCTACGTTCCTACCCTCAATTATGGTCACAAGCTCTGGTAGTGACCGAAAGAATGAGATCGCGGATACAAATGGTTGAAATGAGTTTTCTTCGCAGGGTAGCTGGACTCTCCCTTAGATATAGGGTGAGAAGTTCAGTTATTCGGAAGAGACTCGGAGTAGAACCAATGCTCCTCCACATCGAGAGGAGCCAGTTAAGATGGTTCGGGCATCTGTTAAGGATGCCCCCTGGACGCCTCCCTAGGGAGGTGCTTCGGGCATGTCTGACTGGGAGGAGACCCCGGGGAAGACCCAGAACACGCTGGAGAGACTATGTCTCTCAGTTGGCCTGGGAATGCCTTGGAAGAAGACAAAGGAGATGATTGTGGATTTCAGAAGGAGCGCACAGAAGACTGTTGGGAGTCAGCCTCCCCATCATCACAAACATCTACACCTCCAGATGCAGGAAAAGTGCCTCCTGCATCATGGGGGACCCCACTCGCCCAGCACACACACTTTTTGCCCTGCTCCCCTCGGGCGGAAGGTTGCTGAGCGTTAGGTGTAGAGCCACTGGAATGAGGAGCAGCTTCTACCCTGAGGCTGTTAAGAGTCATAAATCCCTAACCAGAAAAATCACTGTAATGCCACTTTAATTGGTGATATGTCACTTTATCTGGGCTGCTGATTATCCATGCTGCTGATATCTTGCCTTTAAACTGCTGTATTCATACCCATCTGCTCACAACAGACTCGTGTTCAGGCTGCTGTTTTATACAACATATTATATTACAGTATTATTGTTTAGTATATAACTTAGATCCTTGTATACTGTTTTGTTTTTTACTTTATATTTTTGCTATTTTTGGGTGTAACAGGAACCTTGAGTACACAATTTTGTTCCACCTCGTGTACTATATGTGATGCGAATGACTATAAAGAACCTTGAACCTAGTTGATAAACAGTCAGAGTCAGAGATTCTTTATCGTCAGTCGCACCTCATGTGGTACATGTGGTGGAGTGAAATTATGTACACAGGGTCCCAGTTACATCCAACAATAAAATGTATAAGAAAAACAGTAATAACATCTAAGATATGAACTAAGAAAAACATCAACTAAATATACACTAAGCACTCATAACATAAAAACATTGAACATCAGCACAAACATGAACATGAGTCTGTGTGAGCGGATGTGCACGCATGAACACATCAACATTAAAACAGATCAGCAGCAACATGATGTGGTTTTTCACAGTGATTATTCTAGTTAGAGATTCATGAGTCTAACTGCCTCAAGGTAGAAGCTGTTCCTCAGTCTAGTGGTTCTATACTTAATGCTCCTCAACCTCCTTCCTGAGGGGAGTGGGGCAAAAAGTGTGTGTGCTGGGTGAGTGAGGTCCTTCATGATGCAGGTAGCCCTCTTCCTGCATCTAGAGGTGTAGATGTCTGTGACGGTGGGGAGACTGACTCCAACAGTCTTCTGTGCAGCCTTCACCACTCTCTGCAAAGCTTTTCTTTCTGCAGCTGTGCAGCCTCCATGCCACATGTTGATGCTGGAGCACAGGATGATCTCCACTGCCCACTTGTAGAAGGAGGTGAGGACTGAGCTTCCCAGACCAGCTCGTCTCAACCGTCTGAGAAAGTAGAGTCTCTGATGAGCTTTCTTGGGGTACGCTGTGGGGGTTGCTCCGTGAGTATGGGATTGGGGGCCCGTTGCTACGAGCTGTTCGGTAAACATAAACAGCCTTCATAAATTAGTCCTCAGAGGGGTCATTCACATATTTCATCCTTGTTATAACCATACAGAACATACTCGTTTTGGAGACAACACCACCTGTATCTGCAATCTCATTCTTTCGGTCACTACCCAGAGTTTGTGGCCAAAGGTCAGGGTAGGAACATAGACTGACTAGTAAACAGATAGCTTTTCCTTATAGCTCAGCTACCTCTTCACTACAACGGACTGGCACTGAGTTCACAATCCTGCAGATGCTGCACAAATCTGTCTGCCAATCTCACGGACCATTCTTCCATCACTCATGAACATAACCTCAAGATATTTGAACTCCTCCACTTGAGAGAGACCCTCGCCCTTGGCCCAAAGAGAGCAATCCACCCTTTTCTGAGGACCATGGCCTGAGATTTGGAGGTGCTGATTCACAACCCAGCTGCTTTACACTCGGCTGCAAACCACTCCAGTGAGAGCTGAAGATCACGGCACAATAATGCCAACAGGAAGACATCATTCGCAAATAGCAGAGAAGGAATCCTTAGATCACTGAAATGGAAACCCTCTGCCCACTGGCTGCACCAAGAAATTCTGTCCATAAAAGTTATGAACAGAATCTGTGATAACGGGGAACACCTGGAAGAGTCCAACTCCCTCCCTGAAGGGATCCAACTTACAACTGGCAATGCGAACCAAACTCTTGCATTGCTTGTATAGGGACAGAACAGCTCGTAGCAACGGGCCCCCAAACCCATACTCACGGAGCAACCCCCACAGCGTACCCCAAGGAACACAGTCAAAAGCCTTCTTCAAGTTCACAAAAGATATGTAGACTGGATGGGCAAACTCCCATAACCCCTCGAGAACCCTAGTGAGGGTAAAGAGCTGGTCCAGTGTTCCATGGCCAGGACGGAACCCACATTGTTCTTACTGGATCTGAGCTTCGACCAACAATCTGACATGTTTCTCCAATACCCCTGAATAGACCTTACCATAGAGGTAAGGAGAGTGATGCCCCTGTAATTGGTGCACACCTTCTGGTCCCCATTTTTGAAGAAGAGAACCACCATCTCAGTCTACCAATCCAGTGGTACTGCCCACAATGTCCATGCGATGTTGCAAAGGTGTGTCAACCAAGACAGCCAATCACAAACAATTAAAAACTAATCTAAATCTGCCTAATTTCTAAAATGTACTCCAGTAGATTAAATCATAAATCTGGGGATGGTCAAGGTGGAAACAAAGTGGATAAGAAGTGAACAGAGGTAGGCAACAAACTAATGTGCATGGATTAGAAGACAAGGTGTGCATAAGGGAAAACTTGCTGATTTTCTCACTAATTTGAGTCTCTATCTAGTGTCCAACAGTCACAGCACAGTGAGATATTTATCTTAGTTTTGTGATTTCCAATGAACCCACCTGCACTGGAGTTAGGGGGCAGCAGCTGAAGGGCCAGAATCCCTTGGCGGACCATGCTGACCAGACCCATGTCAGGTGACACCATGGACATGCCCTGTTTCCTCAGTGGTTGACCTTCCAAATCTTTATTATGATGATTTAAACTTTGAGCTACTTTCACAGACTGTAAAGCCAAGAAACAGTTTTATAAATTCCTCACAATTCTACAAATGAAAAAAAAAAAAAAAAAAAAATTCAGTTGAGAGTCCTCAAAAATAATTTGTAAAGCTTTCAGTAAAGACACCGAACACCTCTGGACTTATGGAGTCTAACAGTTACAGAAGGTTATTCTTGTTGTGAATACACATTCATTTTCCAGCCAATTCCTGTAAATATTAAAGAAAGGTTCAATGTTCCTTTAATAAATGCAAATCGCCCACAGCATTTCATGTCGGAGTTTTAGACGAGATCATCTGATGATGAAAAATGAGAATAGTAACAGTTTTGATTAAACATAGAAAAAAAAGTGTTGATATGATGTATGATCTCATGAGATATTGTGAGTTGTCATGCTCTGAGTAATTGTTGAAAATGACTCAGGTATACCACATCACATTTTACAGTAGGACAAGATCTATAAAACTGACTGAGTCTGAAAAATTTTTGCAATTAATAAGGTCAGTTGGATGTAGTGGCCATCTTGAATTGGTTTGATTCCCAAAGTTGCTCAGCTCTAGGTGTACGACGCATGATTACTATCTGAAAGTTTCATTAAAATTCATCCATTGGTTTAATTTTCTAACATACAGATGCATAAACGCAAGAATTTAAAGAAATACATGGACCAAAACATTGTTGCCCCTTTGCTTTTCAGCAGCGAGTAATAATATTTGAGAAGCAGAGGTGCCTTGGAATTATAAATAATCCATCATCACATACACTGATAGAAGGTTTCAAACATTAGCTTGAATCTGACCTGCTCCTGCTGCTGATGCAGAACTTCTGCAGTGCTGCTCTCCAGAGCTCGGAGCTGGTGGTAGATTTGATGCCGAAAGTCTTCAAGATTTGTTCTATCAAGCTGACATCCTTGGACCAGAACCTGTTCAAAAAATACATTATACACTTTGAAAGCTGCAAAGAGACAGATTTGATCTGCAAACAGAAACTATCTTCAGAAAAACTACTGAATCAGAAACCAGTGTGAGCCTACAGTCCTAAAAAGTTAAACCAAGTGCACTTCTATTCTGTTTAAGAAGAGATTTCGCTCCCTATCCAAAAAGTTTTCTCAGCTCAAATCTGGAGTGGACTTCCAAGCTTTTTACTGCAGGAGAAGCTAAATTTATGTAGCTAAATTCACATACAGATTAGTCTCAATTTTAGCTAATGTATGGCTAGAACATAAATTCTTAGTTGCTATGCTTTGTTTATTTTTCCTTTGTTGGATTTGTTATGTCCTGTATGACAGAGAATCTATACCAGCATACACATGATGTTAGCTACATCTGGATAATAACTAACTGTTATAATGTCTACAATTCTACAATAAAAACAAAACATGCACAATTGATGTGACTTGAGCCAACAAGCTCAAGTTTTGTCTCATTATTCCCAGAAACTGGTTCTTGTCAATATTTTGTGAATTGCTGTCTGGCTTTTTTGTGTTTTTTCTACCAATACTAAAGCTATATTTTTATCCAATACTAAAGGCATGCAAATTTACATTAGACATTTGTTTTTGTCTTACCTGGTAATTACATTTCAAGAAAAATGAAGCATAGTTTCAATAAACAGTAAGGGAACTAACAGATTTAGTTGCTTGTATAAATGTTTCAGAAAATTCAGACTACCATGTTTATCTTCATTGCTTGCTGAGATGTTTTCTCAGGTTTGTAACTTTCAGTTGAAGTTGCGCAGATGAAAACACACACATTTATTATTCAGAATAAGAAATGATTTTTAGTTTACTGTCCTGTTAAAGTTTAGACATTTTACACTTTGTTAAGCTTTTCAGTCAAGTATCCAACCTGATGTGAAGTGAGACCAATAATTGATGAGTACACCAAAATGGTGATGAAGATCTTGGGCTTGAAGATCTGATCTGTTCCAGGGACCCTGAATGGTTGAGCCAGACCAGCCAAACAACAGGACAAGGCACGAAAGACCTCATCAAAGGTCATTGCTCCAGTGCTATCATCCTGAAAGACAAAAAAACACAAAAAACTCAGACTAAGCCTCCCGGAGACCAAAATTCCTGATGGAGCTTTCTGCAAACATGGACCACATAAGGTCCAAAGAGCACTGGGTGCTTTTATTAAGTGTTTGGTGGTTGTACTGAGTTCAGCCAGAACAGGTTTCATTACTTCCTGTCTCACAACACATATTTATCCAGGAGCAAGTTCTAACCATCAAAAGGTAAGGAAACACTGGACTCTATATGGTAACCTAGAAGTTGAAGTCTATCCAACCATTATCTTCTGATTGTTCTGGTGTCGAGTTGCAGGGACAGCCTTTGTCCTGGGTCTTACCTTGGGTCTCTTTCCAGTCAGACATGCCCGGAGCACCTCCCTAGGGAGGCGCCATGGGGGCATTCTTACCGGATGCCCGAACTACTCAACTGGTGCTTGTCGATGTGAAAGAGCAACGGCTCTACTCTGGGTCTCTCCCAGACAATTGAACTCATCACCCTCTTTCTAATGGAGAGTCTAGCTATGCTGTAGAAAATCTTTTCAACCACCTGTATTTGCAATCCTGTTCTTTTGGTCACTACCCAGTAGTCATAGGTGAGGGTAGGAACATAGACCGACTGGTAAAAAGAGAGTTTTACCTTAGAGCTCAGCTCCCTAATCTCCTGATCCATCCTTCCCTCACTCATGAATAGAACCCCAGGATACTTGAACTCCTCCACTTGAGGCAGAACCTCACTCCCAACCCGGAGACAGCAATCCAACCATTTTCGACTGAGGACCATGACCTCAAATTTGGAGGTTCTAATTCTCATCTCAACCGCTTTACACTCAGCTGTGAACTGTTCCAGCGAGAGCTGCAGATCACGGCACAATGACGCCAACAGGACCACATCATCCGCAAACAGTAGAGAAGGAATCCTGAGGCCACCTGGCTGCACCGAGAAATTCTGTCAATGAAAATTATGAATACAATGAGTCACAAAGGGCAGCCCAGGCAGAGCCCAACTCCCATCCTGAAGGGGTTCAACTAACTGATGGCAATGCAAACCAAACTTTCACACCGCTTGTATAGGGACCGTAGGAATGAGCCACCAATCCCATACTTGTGGAGCACCCCCCACAGTGTACCTCGAGGAACACATTTGAACGCCTTCTCCAAATCCACAAAACACATGTAAACTTGATGGGCAAACTCCAATGACCTCACAAGGGCCCTAGTGAAGGTAAAGAGCGTTCCACACTCAGGACAAAATCCACATTGTTCCTCCTGAATCTGAGGTCGACCATCAATCTGACTCACTTCTACAGTACACCTGAACAAACCTTACATAGAAGGCTAAGGAGAGTGATGCTCCTATATTTGGAACACACCACCCAGTTCCCCTTTTTGAAGAGGAGAACCACCACCCCAGTCTGCCAATCCAGTGGCACTGCCCCCAATTGTCTACAAAATTTTGCAAAGGCGTGTCAACCAAGACAGCCCTGTAACATCCAGAGACTTGAGGAACACAGAGCGGATCTCATCCACCACTGGAGCCCTGCCACCGTGGAACTTTTTTAACTATCTCGGCAACCTCAGCCCAGTTATGGATCGACTAACCCAAAGTCCCCCAACTCAACTTCCCCCATGGAAGACGTGCATGAGAGATTGAGAAGTTCCAAGAACTATTCCTTCCACCTCCTGATAACATTACTGGTTGAGGTCAACAGCATCCCACCTTCACAAAAAAAAATTTTTCTTCTTTCGGCTGCTCCCTTCTTCAGGGATCGCCACAGCTAACAAAGTCGCATGAAGACTTGGCAGTTATTTTTACGCTGGATGCCCTTCCTGACGCAACCACAGACCACCGAGGGCTACCACAGCCCTTTGTGTGGAGCAGAGAGCTGCTATATAAACAGGGCTGGTGTGAATGCACCCTAAGGCTGCATTCACACCAGCCCTGTTTAGTCCGCTTTAATCGAACTCTAGCTCATTTTCCTAGAAAGTCTGGTTCGTTTGGGGAGGTGTGAATGCGCCATCGAACTCTGTCACAGAACAAAAAGGCGAGCTCTGGCCCGTGCTAAAACCTAGGTCTCGGTCTGGTAGAAGCAAACTCCAGCGCAGTTCAAGTACAGTGTGAATGTAAACAGACCGGACCCGCTCCGCAGGGTAAACAAACACGCATTTCTCTGACCTTATATGGAGCTGTCAGCTGCCTTGTGTGGAAAATCAATATTCTCCATGGTCTTCTGTCTCATCTTCTGCTCATGCCAAGTCCATTTTTGAAAAATGACAAAATATAACTCCTAAAACTGCTAAAACTTGATGCCACTTCGTTTTTGTTTTTATTTCCAAAAGAAGAAGAAGACGTGTCTTCAGAGGTTTTTGTGTCGTTTCTTTCAGTAGTTCTTGGTGCAGCGCCCCCACAGGCGAGCGGGGGAATAGGTTGGTTCAACAGGTTGACTCGACTGCACAGTGCAGTGTGAATGCACACGCACCAGCTCAAATG